TGTACTGCCCTACAATCTGGTGATTCTGTTAGGTCAGAGTGGCCTCAGAGTCATTGCATCTCCTTAATAACAGTTCTGAGGTTTCTTTCTGACATAGTAGAATTAGAGGAGGATTCAGAGTGTCCTGGGTTAGAAGTTAAGGGAGAGATGAGCTTGACGGGAAGCTGGCTGTACCGTCCCTTCCATCTTGGACTTCGGCATGTTTTGGTGGAACCTCAGGGGTATCATTTGGTGTTTTGTTTTGTTGTTTTTTTCCCCCCGCTGCTAGGATTTGACTCTTATCCTGAAGATTTAATACTTGCTGGAATGAGTAATTTTTGGAATATCTGCTTAAAGTTCCTTCAGTATAAGCTTTACCATGTGCATCTGGTGGTGATTAAAGCATTTGTATGAAAGGAATAGTGTACTTAAAACTGACTTTAAAAGCCCCTCTGCCCTTATGGTACATTAACTTGATTCCAGTAAGGTTTTAGATGTAATTTCAGAGTATTTTATATTCCAGAGAGTTGAAATCCATAATATGGAAAATTTTTTCTTGTCAATAGAAATCATAAAACTGTATAATGTAACCTAATAATGTAAAAAGCATGCTTTTCAGAGGGCTTCTACAGGAATAAGGTTGATGCTCTATAAATTGAAACTTTAGAATTTTGTTTCAAGTATGATTAATCCAAAGTATGCAATGATATTAATTTGTCATAGTTTGTAGGATTAAACAAATATTTAAAAATGTATACTGAAAGAAGTAGCTAAAATAAGCTTTGGGTTTGGGTCATGTGTTAGTTGTGATTTGTTTCAGCTTGTGGTGCGAGTCAGGAGCTCTTTAAAACAAAAACAAAGACTGTAGTTCAGTCTTTCTTTATATACCTCAGGGGAGATAGCACATAAACTACCTAATGCTTCTCATCCATCATCTCTTCCTTGCCCCCCTCCACACCCATGGTGATTGGAAGTGTTCACTTATACTTTCTGAAAGAACAATTGTGTGTAGTGTTTATCGGTAGACTTGCTTCCTCCCCTGTCGTCTTTCCTATCTGCTTTTATATTTTCTGTGGGTTTTTTGTTTTAAAATGTTCCTTTATCTGAGCCTTCTACTTTCACTGAAATGACTTTGTTTTTTCTGTAAGTTTTCTGCTTAAAAAAACCAAACAGAAATCCACAGAAAACAAAACTCACTGCAGCTGGAGTAATATTCTTTGTGTTATCCTTTCTAGTTTTATCACTCAAACTACTTTAATTGTAGAATGCCTTTTTAAAAGGTGGCTAACATCTTTGAATGACTTCTTCATTGCTCGGTTTTACTCAAAGATTTTGTTACTACTTTTGGCCCTTCACAGCTGCCAGACTTGTGGAAGTGTTTTTCTCCCATCCCAGTTCTTTTTGTGCAAACAGTATGAGTAGCTGACTTTCTTCCTTTTTAGGGTTTAATAGATCCCTTGTCTTAGTGATCATGAGTAAGTTGTTCTTGAGGAAACTTATCTGCAGGTTTCTGCTTAATAGTTTTAGTAACAGATCAAGTTATACCTCTTGTTCTTAGGTGGAAAAAAAAAATATCTTAGTCTCTTCAATAGGGTGATGCTTAGGGGATTCACAAGCTCTTACTGACATCCACATGCCTGACAGCTGTGCTTTGGCACTTTGCTGTGGAGGGGAAGGAGAGTTGGTAAAAGTGAAGAGGACAGCTGAAGTTTGAGGCATGATTCAAAACTGAATCATGGAAGAGGGATGTAGGGCAGACAAGTTCAGTGAGCATAGAAGGTCCTGACTGCAGTTATGCACAGAAGGTGGCAGTAAGATAAATGCTTAATCTTCTGCTGTCTGTCAGTATCCTGAACATTTAGAATTGCATATTCTAGAGCATCAATTTCTCACTCATGACTGTATCATTTGATGTTGGTCAAAGTTTTACCTATAAGTTTATATTTTCAAACTTCCACTGCTGCTCATTTTTCTAAAACGCACTGCCCTCATTGTTGTATGGTTTTTGTTTGATTTTCCATTGTGCATCTCCCCTTTGGTTCACTGACTATAGCCATTGGCTGGAGAATGCTAACGGTGGCAGGGTAGCACATTCATCGCTATTTGGTAGCATCATGTTGACTGTCATTGCTGTGGTTTGGCCTGAGGTATGATCCAGGTTCTGCTACAAAGGTGCAAGTGTCTGTCTTTATTAAATAATTGCAGTTAAAGCATCTGTAAACTAAGTTGCTTTCTGTTGACTTCCTTTTCTACTGAGCCAGCTGCAGCTTCACTTTTTTGGAGGAGCTTGTTCTCCATTTCAAACATAAATTAGTCAATATTATGCATTAGTTAAATTATTGCAAGTTTTCCCTGTATTTATTATCTTTTGGTTAGAGATCGAGAAGAGAGGTTGGCAGCTCTTACTGCAGCTCAACAAGAAGCCATGGAAGAACTACAGAAGAAGATTCAACTGAAGGTATAAAAGGATACTGTAGTTGAAAAATACATCAACAGTGCAAAATTTCTGCAAAATTATTTTTTGTTTGTATGTTTTATTTAGTGAAAGTGTTAGTGCACTGCACAGTGTCCTGAATTATGTAACTTTACATGAGATTTTTATTTAGACGTGTGCATTAAGAAGAGGACCTTGGTGCATACCATACACTGTGTAGTTTGGAAAGAACAGGACCAAGCTCCATGGAATTCATTAATTTCAAAGCTTTGAACATGAGAACAAGTAAACCTGTACTTTCCAAGAGAGGTCAATGTAATTTTGAATTAAATCATGAGGAAAATCAATGTGTAAAAACTCTCACACTGTTTAGTAAAGACAGTTCACCAGTCACACAAGGTATTGAAATTGATGCCATTGCATGTGGCATGCTATTCCTTTTGTTTCGTGAAGGGCTCCAATTATTTCATAAAATAGGCATAAGGATCGAGCCCCTTATAGTTCACCTGTTTACCTGAATTGACTGTCTAATGCAGAACCAAGGTGTCACAAGTTTTTAAGCGATATCCGCTGTTTTTCAAGAGATGTAAAGACTTCTAAAATGTTAAATTATATTTTTAAGGTTCTGTGGTGGAACTGTGTTAAAGTTTAAATTAAAGATAAATAATGTAAATTTTTATCCTAGGATGGCTTATGTGTACATGCAAATAATTTTTCACTTCAGTGTTATTCTTTGCTCTGATTCTAGTCTGAAGCACCATAGCTGCATTTACTTGTACTGTAAAATGCAGTTTTGTTATTAAATACCCCAGCCTCTGATTTTAAATAATAGTTGAGAGTTTCTTCCATTCTCATGAGGGTTAGGTATGAAAACCCTCCGAAAGAATCCGGTGAACAGTGCCTGATTTACACTGCTGATAAATAACAAGTAATTTATTTTACTTTAATTTGTACATTGTGATTTCATATCTGTCAGTGAAAACAGCACTACGTAAGTTACATATCTGTTGAATTGGAAGTTGAACTTGTATTCTCTACCAGAACGTTTCATTAAGAACAAAACCAGAACTGAGATGTTAAATGTAACAAAAAGATTTATAGAAGGATTTGCAACAGATTATTAATTGATAATCACCTATAAAACAAAAATAGTGCTGATTTGATTTTTAAAATCATAGCATAATGTTAAAATGTCTGTGATATGTGTGACTTTTAATGCCTTTCAGAAATAAAAAATAGTTTCAATTTAACAAGTTCATCCTAACTGTACAATACTTGGTAATTCCTAATACTTCTTTGCACAGTTTAATTCCATTCGCTTTAACTCAATGCGATTTTTCTTTGTTGCTTTGATTAATTTCCATTCAGCATGATGAAAGTATCAGAAGGCACATGGAACAAATTGAACAAAGAAAAGAGAAAGCAGCTGAATTAAGTAGTGGAAGACATGCTAATACTGATTATGCACCAAAACTTACACCATACGAACGAAAAAAACAGTGCTCATTATGCAGTGTCATGGTAAGTTGGATTGAGGGAGTACTGTCAGAATTGCAAAGCCAACCTAAGCCTTGAAGCTACCAATGATGCTTTGTTCACAGATGAGAGTACTGCCCATCTGCTGTGTCCCTGCTCTGCTCCTGTAAGGTGCACCTTATTTTCGATTCTTCTGTCTATAGATCAGGTGGTTTAGGGAAGATTTGAAAGAACTGGAGAGTTGTAGGTAGAATGGAGAGTGTGGACAGTACTCAGTTGTTAGCTGTCTCTTCTAAGAAAAGCAAGAATTAGGGAGCATCACGTGAAGGTAGTTAAAAGCTAGGTATACAGCAAAGAATGTGGTTCTTTACATAACAGGTAGCTGAGTCGTGAACACCTTGTTATAAGATCCTGTGGATATTTGAATTTAATGCAAGTTCAGGGGTGATTGGACAAGCTTCATTGGATTGAAATTCACTGAAGGCTGCCAGATACTGAGAAACCACGTCAAGCTCAAGTTCTTGAACTGAGTTTGGTTGGAGGCTTTAAAGTATTGAAGGGGAGAATCAGTGTTTGCTTCATCTCTTACTTTTCCTTTGGTATAGTACTTTTTGGTCACTGCTGGAAACCAAATGTTTTGCTAGGCAGACCTCCCATCTTGACAGGGTATCTCTTCTTGTGTCCACCATTCCATATGTCCTAGGAATGGTGGAAAAGAGGAGGGCATGCAGCCACTGAGTAGGAAGCAGGGAGATCTGTTCTTCTTGGTAACTGGTTTAACTGATTTGCAAAGACTATACATTGTTGAATAAAAGCTTATACCTTACTAAGCATTATTTCTCTTTAATTGCTGAATTGCACGAGATTGCACAGGATCACTTCTGGCGGTGCTGGAACAGAAACTGAGGTTCAGGAGTCTGGACTCTTGTATATTCACTGGTCATGCATTTCAGAATGAAAGTCCAATACATGAAGTTAGATTGAAGTTAAAATGCGATGAGAAGCCAAGATTTTTCTTAATTGCTTATTATACTGCTGGCTAGCAAATCATTATATAATTTCCTCTCAAGTCCTGCATAAAAGATGTTTATATAAATTAGGTTGAGGAATAAAATACCGTGCTTGGAATTCTAAATATACTTCTGACAAATTGGCATTTATTATATTTACAATACTGTTATTTATAGCTTACAGAATTATTGCAGAAAAAAATTACTATTAAGTCATTGTCATTACAGATTTCATCAGAAGTATACCTTTTTAGCCACATTAAAGGGAAAAAACACCAACAAGCTGTGAGAGAAAACAGTAGTATCCAAGGACGAGAGCTTTCAGATGAAGAAGTGGTAAGTTTAGTAATATTTTTTTCTAGATTAATTCTAGTTTTAGATGCGTTCCAGCTGAGTAGCCTAGCATGGGAGTAACAGTGCCTTTTTGAATATCGATTCGAAAGTTTTGACTACTGATGAAAAGGAACGAAAGAAACAGCAGATTCAAATACTTTAGGCAATTGCCATTTGAAATAGATGGTGTATAAAATGTGACTAATTGCTTTTCTGTTATTCCAAAGGTGGTTTTCATCTCACTATATTTATCTTTTCCTTATAAAAATCTGATGTGTTGCAGGTGTCTGCATTTTGCTTTACTCTTTTTTTTTTTTTTTGTCCTTTTTTAGATTACCAGATGCGTTATCCTATGCATCAAGGTCAATAATGCTGAAAACTGTAGTACTTTAAAATGTAAGATTGGAAACACTTTGCAAGTATTAGTGTTACTACAAAGAAGAACAATTACTTTTTCAGTAGCTGCCTTAGAAGAATTGGCACTTAGGGTGATTTTTAGGAAGCATCGAGGACACTTTATACTAAATCGAGAAACAATGCTGTTTTAAAGAAAAGATTTCTGAATGGCTGTCAGATTTAATTTCTTGTTGCTGCTGCCTGAGTTAAACTCTGATATTAAGTCAAGGCCTTTTCTAAGAGTGAAATTATAACAGTCAGACTTTGAGTTCTGTCTCATACAAAAAATTCGTGAATGCCCACGTATTATGCCTGTCACACATGAGGAAGAAATACTGTACAAGCCAATTCTCCAGAGCTGATTCCAATTTAACTTCATTGTGTTCGGAAATCTGTTTCCAACCACGCTGATGCAAGTGATTCAGCTCAGTACTTCTAATTTTTGGCTGTCTCCTTCTTTCCTTCACAGTTCTTGTTACTGTTTTTATTTGTTGAAATCTTCTCTTTGTTTACAGCTTCTTACATCCAGTAGTAGCTTCTTTTCCCTTTTAAAAAGCTTTGGAAAGTTAAGTCTCTGAGGTACTGAAATCCACAAAGCCGGTTATCAGTGGGAAAATGGAAAAATAAAATTGGAGAGATACAGTAGTCTCGAGGAATCCATTTTTGCTGAGTTGCAGTTTGCCTACCCCTTCCTAACTGTAACAAATGTACATAAACTATCTTTTCAGTTCCTTTTTTCCTCTTTTACAGTGGTTAGCGGGAGTTGTGTAGTTTTGGATTTGGTTTTAGATGCCAGGTTTACCTACTTGGATGTATGGGAGAAGGCTTCATACTGCGTCTGATCTCCTAGAAATAAAAGTTGTGAGATTTCCCAGAGTCTTTTGTGTTGGTACATGCACCAGAGTGTGGGCAATCTGTAATATTGGCATTTTCTTGTATCTGTCTAGCTGCTGATAACTGAACTATGGTACTTGCTGGGCAGCTATCTCTGATAAATATGGAGGAAAAGAGTGAACTAGATTTTCTTTTGACTGGGTTTTTTACGCTATTCACAACACCTAATTTGACAGCTTAACAATTCCAGCTTCGTTGGTGAAAAAGAAGTTCCACTAGAGGGCACAGATATCTTGATTTTTGTGGTGTCCAACATCAGATGCTTAAATCCAGTGCTCTTCAGCAAAACGTTTTGATGTGAACTTAAGATTAAGGTTGAGGTTAAATGTATGGGATTCTTTGAATACGTACTTAGTGCAGGAGCAAAAGGAGTAAGCAGTTTTAACTGAATAAACAGCTCGATGATTACAATAGCAGATTTAAACATCCTTAATCAAGATGGTGCCTAGTATTTGGCATACAGGCGACATATGGATACTTCCATTGTTAGATATTTAATACATTATTTATAGCTATATTTTAATTAGTCCATTCTGAACTATACTATTGTAATCTGAAATTTCCTTGGCCTGAGGCTCTCTCTGTTTTGGTTTTGTGGGGTTTTTTGTTGTTGTTGTGGTTTTTGTTTTTTTTTTCCCCAAAGAGCAGTAATAAGATATATGTGCTGTAGATATGGTCACTGTAAAGGAGCAAAGCAATTTTATTTTTCAGAGCAATCTGCTTTGTGTATCTCTTTGTTCAGCATGCATAGTTAATGCCAGACTTTGCCTCCCCCACAACTAAAGCATTCAGTAACTTCGGTTCAGTTTTGAAATACTTGAGAAAAAATTTCCTAAGTATTATATAGAAGTAAAATCGTATTCCAGGGAGGCATAATAGTATTCATAGTTACTTATTCATCACTGTTCTCAATTTTATAGTCAGTGAAGGTATCCGTAGTGAGAACACACTTGTGCTACTTAAAGTTATTACTTGTCATCTGTGATGTCTTCAGATTATATACATCTTGTCTGTGACCCTTCTTCTTTGACATAAAAGATTTTATTTATATCACCTTTGACCTAATAAAATTTCACCTTTAACCTTATGCACTTGACACCTCAGATAACTTACTCTTGATCTTTGACTCATTTTGTGTTAAGCCTGTTAAGTATAATAGGTAGCTGCCTAGAAAGTAAGCTTTTTTTCAATTGTAATCTCACCATAGGATTTCTTCATTATTATTATTATTACTACTTGAGAAATCACAGAAGGACTTGAAATATGGTTATTTGGACCATATTGGTATCACAGAAGGTAAGATATAAGTATTTCCTTAAGACTTTGGAAACTGATTAACGTGATTGAATGATATGTCTTGATGCAGTAGGGACTTTTCTTGGTGGATTTGACTAAGCAGAAAGTTAAAAGCTGTACTGAACAATCATTGATACTCATTTCTCTGGGCCGGTGGATGTTAGTAGTCGATCTTGCCAGATATAAAAAGAAACTATTATATTCAAGATTCTTCCCTTTGCCATAGCATCTATAATGTTTGTAAAATTACAGAACGTTTCCAAGGTAAAGATGACTTTATGTTGGAGCAGTTTTCATTGTTCTGGAATTAAGCATACATTGTGCTTAATTCCAGCATATATTGTGCAAGAGCTGACAGCTAGTATTACATCATCAATAAGATGAATTCACTTGTAGATGCAATATATTTAGTGAAACTCACAAAGAAAATAGTTTTGTTATGAATGAAGATACTAAAAATGAAAAAGCATGAAGTTATTTCTAAGATTATATGACAGCTTCATTTCATCTCAGCTTTTTGGATTTTCTTCATTTGGGTATTGATTAGTCTCTAGCTGAGAAGGATGTAGGTTACTCTTAATTTTGAAACAGTGGTTATATTGTGAAAGCAAATTAAGTTCTATTCACATCTTTTGCTTCCTTTTTCACTTTTCTTTTGTCCAGTCTCTTATAAATACATTCATTCATGTATATGGCGAAACTCTTCAGCTGGTAGGCTTCAGGCTAAATGTTGTCTTTCCTTGTTTATATTTCTGAAACTCACAGTGCTATCACTGTGCTGCGTCATTTCACCGTTATCTTCGGTGCAGTGACAATGTTCTATCTGCATTTTCTCTCTGCGCTTAAATGCATGTCGTCTTCCACCAAAGTTACAGCTTTATCTTGTTTTCACACTGCTGTTTTTGATGCTGTTGATTTCCTGTCCCCTCTCTTAATATTCATATTAGTTTCATGTCAGGAAGAGATGTAAACAATCTAAGAAGTTTGTTTCATTGGCTTCTCTGGAGTTAATTACTATGGTTGAAGGTATGACTAATTGTGTTGCTGAATCAAACCCTTTGTGACACAAAGGGCTTTTGCCACGAAGTGCATCACTTGAAAAGGTGCCTGCTGAAAGCCATAGGAGAACATTCGGTGACTTCGTTAGACTGAGGAGTCTCTGCAAGGACCTTGTAGACTTTCACTCCCACCTGTAGCTCCTAGATTATTTATTCGTTTTTATGTCCCTCTGCTTTCCCTCTTTTTTTTCCTTTGCCCTCCTTGTCTATCCTAGTTTGCTTTGAGAAATACACATAACATTGGTAATCCTTATAGCTTCCTTCTTGGAACCATCGTCCTATCTCTTGTCTGCATCTCCTCTCATCGAAATATCATGGTTTAAAGGCACTTTTTGAGTGCAAGTCATGTAGTTCCATGCAGTCTATGGATGTTTCTAATAAATGAAAAGTAATTATAAAAAACATGCCAAATAGATAGCTTGGCAGGGGTTTGGTTAATTTCTATAAGGTGCATGCTAGAATTTTAGGTATTCCAAAGCAGGATGGAAGAATATTAATGAATGAAAAATGTCCTTTTTCTGTCAGGGAAGAAAACTGACTCTATTGTCATGATATAAATGAAACAAAGAACTTCTCAGAGGTACATGTAGATCAAATGAAAATATAATCCCATGATGGAGCAAAGAGATTGTTGTCGTCTGCAGATTGGCAGTGTTAAAATGTGAGGATTTATAGAAAAGCATGGCTGCTTGAGCCCACCCGCATTCTTTTTTAAAAAACCCAGATTGTCAGTGACTAAAGCTTACTCTGTCGTGTGGGTTGTCAAGTTGGCCGGGGTTGCGGTGCAAGCCTTTTCTGGCATAGGTCTGTCTAGATTGTAGCGGGGTCTGATTTACAACGTGCATAACTGCGCTGGCAGGTTTCCCTGGTACAGGCACTGTTACGCTGGCAGAGCTGCGCTTTGGCCAGGATGTGGTGAGAGCCTGCCTGCCACAGCAGAGTCCTGCTGCTACGAGCTCTGTTCCAGCCACGCAAGGTTTATAGCTGGGACAACACACAAGCAAAGTTGATGTTCATATGAGTTTGGATTTCTGAAAGCTTTTTAGGGATGAGGGGTTGTTTTTCTTTAAGAAACCGAGCTGTTTTCTCAAAGTTGTGTGCTTCTTCCATTATTTCTTACAGAGGAAATGACTGGGGGAAAAAGATGTGGGAATGTTTTCATGCCTGACCTTTCCTCTTTTTCTTCTGCATTTACAGGCAGCTTTCTTGTCTAGAGACATGGTGATGCCTGGATTTTGCTAATATTTTTTTATTCACTATGTTTTCATTAAAATTAAATTATATATTGTTTTATTGCTTCAGCCTTAGCAGTATTGGGAAAAATGTTTTTTGTTTTCCTTTCTGAATCAGAGTGTTTTC